CCATTTTCTGTGCCACCTTCTTGTACCAAGTTCCTTTTCTTACTAATTATTCTATTCTTTGAGTTTTCCTTACCTTGATGCTCATATTTATGACTGAGATTCTGAGAAGCTGATTGGAAGTCACAGTATGCTGGTTTCTAAAAGGCTTGGATAGAGAGCCAGATATTTCACTGGTCCCTCAAATTTCTTTGCCTGCAGGTCTGTTTACCACTTTCCTTAGTGTGGAATCCTCCAGTTTCCTATCTGTAGAAGGCAACCCTGAATAATAGTGTACCAGGACCCTGGAAAGTGAGTGGTCTGTGGATGTTTTAATGCTGAATGAACTGGCTCTCACTGCAATGCAAGTTTTCAGTGTGTAGCCTCTTCCCTCCTCAAGTCTCTGCCTGGTACCTCTGAGTCCAATGCTTCTCTTCAGAGAGTAAACAGAGTAAAATTCCAATTTTCTGTCCCGTTGAGAGTAGCATTCATCTAGTACTGAGCAGAAGGGGCTGAATTTCTTACTAGATTTTCAGCCAAACCCGTTCTCCACTGCACTCCATATATTCAGAAGTTCCCAAGGTTTCCAAATCCTGAGTTTTTCCCAAGTTTGAGGCATGAATCAGCATCTTATTGTTGGCACTCTGTCCACAGGACCAGAATTCATTTTCTTGGCTCTGTTACATCAACAACCAGCCATCTGTCCATTTTCCATATTCCAAAGTTTGTCTGATGCCTGGCTCCTATTGACTCCTTTCCAGGATTTTCTGCCTTTCAGGGTTTATGTGTGCTTTTTCTTCTTTACTATCATTGTGGTGAGGTTTTGCAGAAGGAACAGAAATAAGTTGAACTGTTAAATAAATGAACTGTTCATTCAGTCTGCCATGTTTAACAACTTCCTCAAATTTATCAGTTTTTTATTTGTAAGTGTGATTTTTAATGTTCCATACCCTGTAATAATCTTTTGTCATAATCTCCAACTTTTATTCTTTATGGAAACTAGTTTATTTTAGTTTAGAGTAGGAATTTTTAATCCAAGTTTATCATTTCCACATAATCCGCTGTGGAAGATCATTAATAGAATAGTAGCCCTTTCTTCTGTGACTTTAATACTTCCACAGCTGTTTAAAATGTTCCTATATGGTTCTGCTTCCAGGCTTTCTGCTTTGTTTTATCAAGCTGTCTATTCTTGTACTAATAACTTTATCTTAATTAGAAATGATCCATTAAAAGTTCGTTACCTCCTTTAACATTTTTACTTTCTCATATTTGCTATTTTTTTAAGTTCTAAAAAATAGATCATTTGAGAATTGTAACTGGAAAACTAAATTATAGATTACTTCGAGCAGAATTTATGCCTTTACAGTTTTGATGTTTTCCATTTAGGAAAATGATATATTTCATCATTTATTTGGATCTGTTGTATCCTTAAATCGGGTTTTACAACTTTCTTGGGCGTATTTTGTTACATTTATTCTGAGGTAATACATACTTTTTGCTACTATGATAGCATATTTTTCATTTTGTTTAAAAATTAGAGATGGTTACTTAAAGGAATTCTGGAGTATCTCATTCTGAATTTAAACTTCCAACATGGTTTTTTACCATATGATCTTTAATTTTTTACACAAATATCATATCATAAGAATAAAGATATTTGGGTTTTTTTCTAGACCCAGTGGTTCATTTTTTTTCTGCTTTTCTCCTATGGTTAGAACTTGCAGCATATGCTTTAATTGTGAAAGAGGTAGTAGTTATCCTTCTCCTTTCATTGGTTGGGAAAAATACTTTTAACATTTTATCATTAAGCATAATGTTATGTATAGATTTCCAGGTAAAGTTTTTTGTTGGGTTTATATTCTTTTTCTCACTTACCAAGACAAATTTTGTACATGAGTATTAATTTTACTACATATATCTTAACCTATTTAGATGATTTTTCTTTTTTTATATTTAAAAAAATTAAAATTTCTGATGTTATGTGGGTAAATGTAACCAACCCTAAATTGGTCTCTGTTTTTTTTCCTTCTTTTTATACTTTTGAATTCAATTTGCTAATTTTTAAAACCCTAAGTTCATAGGTGTGCTTAGTCTACATTTTTTGTGTACATGAGTATGTGTGTACTTTGTTGTCTAACTTTACTATCAAGATTCTACCAGGTTTTTTTTTTTTTTTTTTTTTTGCTTTATAAGCTTGGGTATCTGGGTATTTGGGTATTTGACCAAAAGGATGGAAGAAAAGGTGTTTTGCTGTCTTTTAAAAGTTTCAAATGTTTTTATTCAATAAAATAGGTATTTTTATGCTTGCGTGATGTTTATTTTTCATGGGCTAAAAGAAGTGATGACAATTTTATATGAAAAAAACAGCCTTTTTTTACTTGTCCCAAATCAACACAGAAACACAATATAATTGCTAGCTACTGATCTATATTAGAAAACACTTAAAGTCAAAAAAATACCATGAGTCATCCAGATATTTCCAAATGTCTCTTTAGATTTATCATACCTTGATTATGGTAAGTAGACATATCCTATTACAGACAAAGTCTTCTTTATCTAGGGTAGTAATAGTAGGAAATATGTTCCATATGAATTTCCTATATTAATCATATATATATATATTTCTATTTATAGATGATCTCTGGAAAAAAGTAAATATTGTGAAAGTAAAGTTTCCCATGGCAGGGAATAGTATATATATATATATATATATATATATATATATATATATCCTTTTCATGTCTTTTTATTTATGCTTGTTTAAAAAGAAAAAAAAAGAGAAGAAAATAGCCTGGGTGGTAACACTTGCCTGTAATTACCAAACTCTGGGAGGCTGAGGCAAAAGAACAGCAAGTTTGAGTCCAGAACACACTTAGCAAGTTAGTGAGACTCCGTCTCACTAAATAAAAATAAAAACTGAGCCAGGATGTAGCTCAGTATAAAGTCCCTGGGTTCAATCCCCAGAAAATACACATGAAATTTATTAAATTATTCTTCATTCTAACTCCCTGACAACGTCTATTTTCAAATATACAAAATAGACTTTATGTATGATTGCCCATTATACTCTGTATATATATGAATTATCCAAATTTTATCTAGGGAAACATGCTTTTGTTTTCCAAAGGCATAACCCAAAAATATTTAGCTTTTTATCTTCTAAAACCATGCAAAATTCATGTCCCTTCCATGTTTCCTGTTGATAATATATTTCCCACTTGTAGCACCAATTTTCTTTCCTCTAGTAAGCTGGCACTTGTTTTAACTTCTACATGGTAAAATTGTGCCCGGATGCTGTTCAACCAAAGGACATTCCTAAGAAACGCACGAGAAAGTTACTTTGGATGAAGTCAACAGCGGCAGTGGGAAATTTCCCTGAGATACAGGGTGACACTGCTTGCGCGTCGTGCGCCTGGGTCATCTCTGGACAGAGTTTGTATCTTTACGTCACAACTGAGCTGTTTGCAGACCTTGCTGATGTCTGCCTTACGAAGTCTTCGGGTTCAGTCATTTACCACACTGAGAAATATTACTCCACCTTTGCAACCTGTCTGCATATGAGGTGTCCACTGGCTGTGCTCCTAAAGTTTATTTTCAAATCATTTATTTAGGATCAAAAGACATTTTCCCATAGGAACAATTTTACAAATGGTGTAGTTCCACAAATGCCAGCGGAGTTACAGGAACTTGACTTGCACCACTGTTGATACTATTCCCATGAAGCAACTATTTATTCTGGTTTTCTGGAAAAGAGCAGAGCATCTGATTTCTAATTTAGGATGTTGAAGCCCACATTGCCTCTGCAGAGCAGTCTTCACTGTACCTTTTTGTGCTGGGCAGCATGTGCGGCTGGGAAGAGGGAAGGGAACACTCAGGCCCCCTAAGAAAGAGATGTGTACAAAGAGCTGGTCTGGATGCTTCTGGGTAACTTGTTAACACTAGAGGCTTGAAGAACAGAACCATTCCATGGTTCCCACGTGTCTGAATTAGGCACTAGGGGAAGGGAGTGTTTCCTAAATAGAGAGCATTTCTAAGTCAAATCTTCATAAAGAAGGAACAGCTTTTTTAGCAAAATCTTAAATTTTTGAAGACCCAGATCCCCAGTCATAATTAGCCAGGGAAAGCATTTGAAAATCTTGGTGGGTGGTGAAAGGGTGTCCAAACACGTAGCAATACAGAAACCTAGCTGTGGGGCTCACAAACAGTAAGTACTCCAGAGGCAAGGAAATGTTTTATTGAATAAAGTACTGAGTGAATTCTGAAATGTACAGAACCACAACTGAATGCATGTGTGGCACAGTTAACTGCAGGTTAATTCAGCATCTCCAAATTCTGATTTGCTCGTAGCACACATGTTCTAGAAGTCACTAGAACCTTGGTGTGCCCTGGATGGACATATGGATCTATCTGTCCCAGTTCCAAAACATAGCTCACTGTTGAGCATCAGTTTCTAGAATTATCTCTTCATTTCACAATCGATCAAGGACACAAAAGGTGGGGAGGCAGGTTGACATGGAAACCTGGAGCCTACGCGAGCTTTAGGACCCTGTCTAGTTGAATTAGGCACTGTCGAGGTTTATTCTGGCCAACACTACCTGCTAAAAAAGAGCAGTGTGGTCGATTGTTTTCATTACACACATAGACATATTTTAGGGGACTGCAGCTCTTTCAGGCTAGAATTTAGTCTGCAAGCAGACCTGGGTCTTGTCTGTTTCAGGTTTTCAAATTGCATAACAATTTAAATCCATTCTGTATGTGCAAGTACTTTGAAAAGAAATACACTCCCACCCCATAAACATACCTAACTGCTGGCTTCTCATCTCATAGGCTGTGCTTTCTTTTTAAAGCTCCATTTGTGTTCTACAAGACAGCCTCTTTCTCCAAGATTAACATTTCTTATGATTGTTCCTGACAATGGATCCACTTCCAGAGGCCCTGCTAAGGATAACCAAAAAAGGGCATGGAGCAGGCTGGTTTTGGCAGCCTGCTTGCAGTTTCAGAGCTTTTTAGGTCTTGGTTTTTCTGATGAGTGATTTCCTGAGCATGCCTAGGGAATGACAGGCATCTGCTCAGGCAGACTGCGTTACCTTGGCCGGTGTCGTCATTGGCTGCCTATTAGAAAAACTGCAAGACAATGCATACCACTGCCTGCGACTGTAAACATAAGGGCTATGTGTTCCCTTAGCATGGACTTCGGGGAGGGGCCAAAAAAGGGCGGTCTGCAGTTTTATTGAGTAGGGCACTGTGGGCTAGGCTGCCTGCCTGCCTACCGCTCTCTTGCTGTGCTCCTGCTTAAAGGAATCAGTCCGTCCTCTCCAACCTCGTCCACCGAGAAGAAGTTGCAGCGTCAGGGAGGTAAGGTACAAGGGCCTTTCTTTTTTTCTCCTCCAGAGAAGCTGGGGATTTTCTCCAGGTTCGTCAGCATTCCTAGGCAAAAAAGCTGGAGATACAAGATTGTTCAAGGCAATAAACCATGCAAATTTTCAGAGCCGGTCTGGGTTTCCTTGCCCTGCTGATGTTGCTGGAAGACAAACAGGATGAGTTTGCAAGTTTTGTTTCTAGAGATGGGACAAGAAGTGAGATCACAATGGCTTACGTTCAGAGAGCACTGGTAACTCTGATTAAGGTGGTCTTTTGTTTGGGAGAGTGAGATGGGATTATACCTGATATCCACAAATCAAGGTTAAATAGTCTGTTCACCCAGAGGTTTCTTTTGCGTCTTTTATTATCAGGCATTTTAAGAGGTTTTACTTTAAAACTAATGGCAATAATTTTCAGATAACAAGGAACCAAAGAGTGATGGGTTTGTTTTTTTTTTTTAAACCAAAGGCATTTGTATGTTACTCTGCAATAAGTATTCATGAACTGGCCTTTCAGAGCTGCAAGAAAATAAAGTCTGAGCATGCTAGCACCACTGCCAGTTGAGTTAATGTCATTGATTTGATATTTGCTAAGACAGAAGATGCTTTCTGTGGTCTATTTCCTAAATAAAATCTAATAACAAAAGAACACATACTAGTGGGTGGGCTTTTAGAGTTCCTACCAAACTATATTCCTAAGAAGTCTTATTTTCTTTTGAAAGTATGCCTCAGTATGCCTAGCGAGCTTAAAAAGATCTGTATCTGAAATATGTTCCAGAAAGGAAGCAGACAGGCTTTAATTTCAAGATAGACGTATTTGGGCATCTTAAACAGAGGTACAAGCAGCTAGCTGGTAGTAGTCTGCAATTCCTTTTAGAAAGACCTGGTTGTAAAGGGCGGGGGAGTTTCAGTGCTGTGGCAATACATGGCCAAAAAAGTGGATGGGAGCAAAGTGGTTGGTTTTCACGGATCCCTCCTGTTAACAAGGCTATGCAGATGGGCTTGTAAACTGAAACAGTAAAATCCTCCCAGCCTGTTTGGAGAAACCAGACATGTATGGCTAGAACTTAAGTGAAGACTAGATGGCATGTGGAAAGAGAGATGAATCTGATAATTTTTAATAATGTAAATGTGAAAGATACCAGCTCCCAGTGACTGACTCAGTTTAATTTTATTCTATGAAATACCATGGTTTGGGGTTGAGAGACATTTAATGACCTTTTCTCTTTGCATTTAGAAGTTGAGGGATAATTTCTTGAGAATGCCTCCTTCTTCTAGAAGTGATATATGAGAATAGGCTGCTCTGTGAATTTCTTTCCCTGGAACAGTTCTGAGTAAGTGTGAGAAAAAGACCGCAGGCAAAAGCTATAGCTTGATTATTGTCTTTCCCTTGAAGAGATCAAGTTCCAAACTATTTTCACACTGTTTTTCATGTCAATCAAAAATATGGGGAGCAATTTCTTTTTCAACTGTTCTCTAAACCATGTAGGGAATGCAGTTTGGAAGGAAATCTATAATCTTGGGATTTTATGATAAATTCCATTGTGAAACCAACATTGCAGAATCCCTGAAAGTTCAGGGATTTCTACGATGCTCCCCACCCCCAGCATAACATCCTTCATCTTCTCCTGTGGAAGAAGCAAAGTGACTTGAGTTTGTATTGAACTTCAGGAGTTCTCTTTCTTATTTTCCTCCTGTTCACTATTAGCTAGAACATATCTCCCCAAATAGGGAGGTAAACAGAGTTCAGAAAAACTATAGACTGAGAACTTTCATTCTATTAAAATCATTTAATAAAGAGAAGTATAATGGCAAAATTCTGGAACAAAAAATAACTCCTAGAGATAGTTGATTCTAAATCCTATATGAACCAGGTATGGTGGCCCAAGCCTCTAATCCCAGAACTTGGGAAGCTGAGACAGGAGGATTGCTATGAGGCTGAGGCAAGCCTGGGCTACAAAGTGAGTTCAAGACCAACCTGAACTGCATAATGATACCCTGCTTTTTTTTTTTTTAAACCTACGGAAGATACAATGGATTGATCCACAGGAAAGTATAGGGTTGTTTCCACTATTTAAAGCTAGTTGGATGTGCAATTTTAAAAATCTAGTGAAGGTCCTTGTCTTAAATAAATTCACAACTTTTGTCCTACAAGAAAGAAGAACCAGGTTCAAAATGTAAAAAGATTTAAACAATATATGAAACTATTCTCAGACACTGTGCTATTAATAATTCTGATTGGTTCCTGGTAGCACCTGAGCACTTCCTACTCTCTGCAGATGGACTAGATTGGTCTTGTGACATGCCATGGAAAGTTCCAGAATGTGGGCTGGGTCATCTTTATTCTGATGAGCAAAATATACTTTAGTAGGCTTTTTCTTAAAAACACACATAATTGTCTCCATTTGTCATTTTCATGGAAGTCTGATTACTAGTTAGTCATTTTGTAGCAAGATGGAAAAGTGACTTAGAGATGGGCATAAGAAGGCCTTAGGCAGCTCCCATCTGCATGTTGCCTGTCACATGGCTCAGAAATGTGAGGCCATGGTGGGGGGACGGGGGAAATGCTGACAAAGTGGAATGCAAATAGCATGGTAGGACTAAAGAGGAGGTTAGAAAGATGCTGCCAAAGAATTCGCAGACTTTAGAAAGGGGTTTTCTGAGTAAAAATCTCTGAAAGCCTGAAAATAGAACCATTGGCTTCTTAACTGAAAAGTCATCTGTCAAGCCAGACCATATGCCCATAGGTTCTTCTTCTTCTTCTTCTTCTTTTTAATCGATAGGTTCTCAGTAGCTGGGTCACTTAAGCAGATATTTTCATCTCAGGCTTAACCCATGGGCACCAAGATGAGCCCTCAGTTCTAGTTTTGGCTCCTCTGCTTAAATAGCCTGACCTTTGAGGAAGTCATCAACTCCTCGGCCTCATCTACAGAATGAGCATTGTGATACTTCTCCTTAGACCTTGTACTGGTTAAAATGAGATGAGGCCTTTTGCCTACCTTCCCTGTGTACACTCTAAGCCGCTTTGAATTTCAGCCCCCTGAACATGATGCCCATTGGGGCAGGTTTCCTCTACTTCTTATCTAGTATCTCTTGTTATCTCTTCCTTCTCCATAGCTGAGGAGGTACTTTCTGGAACCCTGATCCCAGAGTCTGGCAAGTACTGATGTATCTCAATGTTGCCTGAAGTTCAGCTTGGAGTTAAAAACCAGGAGGACCCAAATTCAGAGAGTGTATTAAGATGCACATCAGTGGCTCTCGGCAATAGCTAGGAACCGGGGACATGAGGATGCAGATGAGCAGAAGACCCAGTGATAAAGTGCTGACAACAGAAAGGCCTTAGTAAATGAAGCAGCTTCTCTGCCTCCAGCCAGAAGCATGGAATTAATCCAGCATGTCAAGCCTGGGCCTTGTGGGCAGGATGAGGTAATCAGGAGCACCTGGCGGTGGTTCTTGTTCGTATTGAGACCAGACTGCTCCAGAGAGCTTGCCTCTCACTCTGCTAGTCTCAGACTTGAGTACTCCCCACTGTGACTGATCCCTAGTGGCCTCCCTGATTCCTTCCCCACAGTCCTCCACCCCACCAACTCTCCCTTCCCCACCCAAACTGACAGAAGCCCAGCTTTCACAGATGACAGCACGAATACGTTTGAAATAGGGGGAAGCCACTTCTTATTTTTAGGCAGAAGGCAAAAAGTTAAGAACAGGCAAAATTTATGTAAGAGCATTTTCTGAAGCAAGGAGCCACTCTGATTCTGTCTCCAAAACATCTGATTAGCTGGCTGTGGGGAAAGTTTGTAGAGCTCAGAAGGGGAAGCGTGTCATGGGCTATGGGAAGGGGTGACATGATCATCCTCCCTACTGCTGATCTGTTGTTCTTCCCGATGTTATGAAAACCTCCATGAATCTGATAAATCTCTGAACCTTTAGGTTCTGTGTAAACCTGTCCTTCATAACTGGCCAGTGAGTTATTCTGAGCTGGGGAGAAGAGGGAAGGGAGTGAAGCCTGGACTCCCACAATAGACAAGGCTGGACCCGATCAGCATGGGCCTGGAGGGAGAGGAAGGAGAGAAGAGAAGAGGAGAAGAAAGGAGAGGAGAGGAGAGGAGAGGGGAGGGGAGGGGAGGGGAGAGGAGAGGAGAGGGGAGGGGAGGGGAGGAGGAAAGAAGGAAAGAAAGGAGAGAGGAAGGGAGGACGGGAGGGAGTGAAAGGAGAAAAGAAAGGAAGGAAGGAAAGGGGAGGGAAATATACAGATGTGTAGGAGGAGATTGCCTCAGAAACCCTGCATTCCAAAGAAACGGAGACCATCTCCAGAGAGGAAGCAGTTTTTATGGAGAATTTGTGAAGGTTAGGAAATTCAGGAATGCTGCAATTAAGTGTGTGTCAGGAGAGCACCGAGAACTTCATAAAGGGTTGTTGAGGAACAGCAAGAGAACAGTTAAGGGAAAATGACTTTTAAAAATATTTCAATAGGTTGTATGTTCTTTGTAAGCAGTCATTTTGATTCATGTATTTTTAAAGAGTATGTGTGTTTGTATATATATATATATATATATATATATTATATATATGATATGTATCATATATATAAAACAATGATGGACAATTCAAAGATAAATTGCATTTTAATCATTTCCAGAGCGTTTTGGCATTCTTTGGTGAATATGAGGACAAAAGCACTTGACTCCCAGGAAATTATCTTAGTTGGGAAGGAGCAACATTAAGAAGGAATATATAATTGATTCCTTTACACCTACTTGTGACATTCTCTCTTGCTTGTCTCAAGATACCTTCTGGGAGCTAGTCAAGGCTCTCTGTGTGCTGCAGACCAGCAGAAGTGAGTGTCCACAGGAACCAAGGGCCAGTGAGCATCAGAGATGCTCATTCCTCTGGGAGGTTGCTCTCAGCTGGAATAGATGTAAAGAAACAGGCTGAGCCCTTGTCTTAATTACTTTTCTTGTTGCTGACACAAAATACCTGACATCACAAGTTAAA